GTATATAACGCATTTGATATTTTGGCGTTGGCTTTGAGAAAAGGCACATGGGGAAAATTATCAAAGATTGACCTGTTAAAAAGAAATGTAAAAAATAATGTGACTTGCCTAGGTAAGCATATTTCCAATTAGAAATAATCACAGCATGTAAAGAACCAAAGGTCACTCAGGCAACAGCCCGGCCCCAACTCTACAGATTAAGAATAAATCAAGTTACGCTATACTCCAGGTAAAATATCGGCAACTACTCTTGGGAGCAGTTTTTTCTTTGTGGTTTTTTAAGACTCCCGTTTACTGTTCCTCAGAATAAAACAAATTTTTCCTTATTCTTATCAATGAATAGTTAGCAGATTCTCTAAGGTCAGAATCTAATTACGCTGAAGAAAATTGAGAAAACATGATCATTACTGAGATACATTGAAGAATAAATGTTTTCCATACGTACCGTGTGGCCTCGGGTGGGTAAGTTTACAAAGGAAAAATATTGAAAAATAAATAAGAATATAAACTAAAGTGAAAGAAAATTAAATGATAGGATAATGAAGAGCACTCACCCAAGTCAAGAAGATTAGCCAACTTTTCGGTGTTTCTTAGCTGAAGGCAGCATTTAAAGAAAGGGACACCACTGTCAAATATGCTATTTTCCAATGCAACATTCGTTAAGTTTGGATAAGAAAAACAAGAAATAATTTAGCACTTAGTTAAAAATGCATCCTGAGTGCTTTTTTGTCGTAGAACGCATTTTAATTCGAGTGTTGAGAAAAATCAACAGGTTACAAAAATCCACCTTAATTAATGCTAGTATTAACACTAGTTGGGAGTACTGTGCAAAGTGCCGTCATTATATTTTGTGAGCTCTGAAGTTTCATGACCAAAGCCTGGCCAATCTCTGTGAGAAAACTGCACTACAAAAGACAGACAGAGACAGGCTGTATAGCTAGACGAAAAGATTATTACATAAAGTACCTCTCAAGTAACTAGACAAGCCAAACAATGGACTTAATTAATTACTTTTGAGAATCTAAAGCTCGCAGGTGTTGATTGCACTTCTCTACAGCAGGTCCGTTCTAGGGGATTATTTTCTAACACACAGGAAGCGACAAAAATGAGCCGACAAATTCAACATTGGAGTGCAATCGCCTTCCGTCCAACTAGCTTTAAAAATAAAGTTATAGAGGGCGTTACCTATAGGAGCAGACCCATATAATACTGCCGGAAAAGAGCTTTGACCAGAACATTCATATCTCTGTAGACGTTCATACCCTTTAGCTACTCACGTAAAAAGCGATATAGCTCCTCGCTCTTAGTTTGCGCCAGTTGAAACTGAAAAATTAAAACTGAAGAGCGTTTGTAACGTCCAACTATCACCACAATATGCTCTTAATCTTTGTTTATTTTTAAATTATTATTAGTTTAGACAAATTTTCTTTTGACACAAACTTACTTTAACGTAAACACCTCACAGGAAAAAGAAAACGAACGAGCGCGAGTAAAGTCAAGAAATTCGAGCAAATTAATTTGGCCTTAAGAACCTTATTAATTTTCGAGGAGATTCGCTTAGAGCCTCTTTAAGTTAGAAACGTTCGGTTTTTTCGTCGTACTCTAATAGTGAATAGTTGCACCACAGTAACACAAAACAGGCAGTTTTTAAGTTTAGGTAGCATTGTTTTTCGTCGAAAAAAATTGTAAATAAAAAACTATTTTACTCTTTTTTAGTATCAGCTTTTGGCTTCGTAGCCATTTGGAACATAAAATCGTTGCTGTTTTGTTTTCAAAATTTTGAAAACAACCTAAGATGTAGAGATGCACAAGACCTAAGCTAGTCTTAACTTGGTCTCCACTTGTGTTAAATTAGAAAATCTGTCCTATTTTCAGTAAAAATAAACCAAAAAATACCAAATCGATGCTTTGCCGTTTGTGGGTTATTGAGAAAGATATCAAGGAATCTTTAATCGCAGGTGGGAAACGGCGAATAGAAACTAAGAGCTTGATTAATAAGTCTATCATGTTAGCTTAGAATTCTTAAGTTAGTAGGTATTTCTACTCCGTCTTCCATGGCAAGACTTTGTGTCAGTGGTGTAACAATACATTCTCACCTGTTTGTCGCCCAAAGTGCAAATAGCCTTCGAAATTTAACCAAAATTGCCCTTAAAATGGCTATAAGACCCTATAACGACCTACTTCTTCCTCGCTTGCTGTAACATTATATCTGAAACAACCTTGATTACCGTCATTGACGGCTGAGGAAAGAAAAGTGGTGAACAGTTCAAGGTAAGAAAAGGGAGGGGTTACTGAAGAGCATGAAATATGGCCCTTCGAAAACGCTTCACTGACAACACTAGTGTTCCAATTCTTCATGTACCACACTTTGGCTAGAACCAGCCCGACTCAAAATTGTTTGTTTTGGAAACTGCTATTTCATATTGTGACAATTTTGAAACGACTGGCTCCAAAGAAGTCTTAAGAATCTAAATGATAAATAACTCTTCTATTCACAATTTATTTATTGCGAAGGAGACCAGCGTCGAAAGAAAGGAACGTTTCAAAACAGTGAATTTCAAATCGAGAACAAAAACATGAACCACAAAATGACGAGCTAATGTGGACAGCAAAGACATTGTGGAAACTCTGCCCAAACCACGACAAAGAACAAAAACTAAACTTACATAAAAACAAAAAATAAATGATAAACACGTTCGTTATTTTTCTACAATGAAAAGTTTATTATTTAAAGGTAGGAATACAAGCTTTTGAGAGTAAGTCGGAATGATTCACCTTAAGAATAAAAGCGAAAAGTAGTTTAAGGTACTTATTCGTGCATGTTGGAATCTAATTCAATTTAGCGAGCGTTTAGGTAAACAATGCAAATCAAAACACCTCACATGGCAGAGCAAATCTTCAAAATCCCTGACTGAAACAGATAAACTCCCTTGAATTTCTTCGCTAGGTCATCTTTGGAAAGGCTGTTCATTTTATTTCAGAGCGATCCATATTGCATCGGAAATAAGTCTTTCGTTCCTGAGAAGAGAACAGGAAAAAATATTAACTACCAATAGAAACAATACCTGACAGTATGAGGCTTTAGTCGGGAGACAAAAGAATATTGGCCCTCGTTCCTTTAAGCATTCACCTTTTCCTGAGAACATTCTAGCCACAATTGCCACAAAAACATGTCGCTCTCATGATCAAACAACCAGCAAACAACCGCTGCAGTTTCAACGGCTGAATTCTGAAGGCATAATTCTTTAGTTCTGATAACATAATTTAACGTCTTAATATGTCTTTGATAGTCTTAAACAACCAAACCAGCTTCAGTTGATGCGCACCGAAGGCAGAAAAACAAAAATTTATTCATTGGAAGTTACCTTCAAATAATAACTGGACCATAATATGTCATTTGCAATCTTAAGTAGATTTAGGCGTGCATGGAAACTAAAGAACATGAGGAAAACATGAAATTACTCGAACCTCTCGTTTTAGAAAATTCTGAAAATGTTTTGTCTTAAGAAGTAGAAATTTACAAAACACAAATTGAAACAAGTTCCCAATGCTTATTTGCAGTAAAGCAATCAATAACGAAGATGGAAATTTGTGAATCAGTTGGAAAAAAACTTTGGAGAGTGGCGAGGTAATGCCTTGAGAAGTAATAAGTGCCTTTCTTATCAATCAAGAGCACGTTTCCTATAAAAGTTGCATGCCTTCACTGCTCAGTTATTCTTACTGAGAAAAGAAAACATCGTGGAAAATGGCAACACAATGGACAGGTTGCATGGATAGTTTTCAAAACATTTCCTCCCTTTTTGCTCCAAAAATAAACAACAACAGTGCAGTATAGGTCAATTGAAAAGTGACCACGAGTAGTTCCTTGATTTAATCCCACATGTGTAAGGAACCGTTTAACATGACTATGCGTTGTCCAACCGGATATCTCATTGCTTGAACAATTTCGGTTGACCAACCCTTTTTCAAAAAGACAGCGCTGACTAAACTGTGCCTAACACGCCTTTTAAAAAAAAATTATATTTTTCGGACATTTCTGAAACTTTGTGTTTCTCACAAGACTAGTTGTCAGCTAATTCTAAGTATAAAAATTACGATAAACTCAGAGAGCGATAAACAGTGAATGTTTTCCAAATCTAGCTCCACCAAAGTTGGAGTGCTATCAATAAGCTTGAGATTTCAATCAAAATAATAAAATGCAGGATTACTCCGTGAAATCTTGATAAGAGTTCGATAACGTAAAAAAAATTTTGGAAAGAACGCCAATCGTTCCTTGGATTTCATCAACTCACCTTTTTCAAATACCGATCCACAACACTGCCCACGTTTGCACGAAACAAACGAACTAAAAGCAAGAGGTTAGATGACTGAGAAAATTGCTCAGTTTAGTCTAAAGGCAAGCTCCAGGATACTAAACTGTCCTTAAACCTAACAGCATAAGTTTTGAAAACAAACAATTTAGAAACATCTCTCCTGATTGCATAAATGTTATAAACCAAGGGTAAACTTTTAGGTTTTGATGAAAACTATATTCCAGTTGTTTTCAAAAAAATGAGCAGGAACTTATTGCCGATGACAAACAACACGTCAACCAAGGCTCATCACATAAAAGGTGGGAAGGAATTTTAAGAATAAACTTGCAATTTTTTCGTTTCTCTGAAAATATGCTATATGTTCAGATAAAAATGTAGACAACGCCATCAATTGTAACCGCAATCCTGTCACTGCTGATGCTTGATTGTAAGTGAGTTTAGAAAAACAAGTAATAAAAATATATATATCTCTGAAACCATAATTGAACCTCCTAAGGAAAGTTCAAGATATACACCATTTGTTGTAAGCAACAGATTTATTTGGATTCTGCAATTTCAGGACTAAACAACCATAAAATTAGATGTCACACAAGTTACTGGATAGCGCTGCTCCCATAGATCTTAAGATATTGTTCTTAAATTATCAACAGATGGATGCAAGGTCACCGAAGCTCATTGTATCGAAAATACACAGTTTCGCGGCGAAAAAGAATGTTAATCCTGGAAAACGGGCTCCTAGAAAGCAGACACCTGCAGACAAAAACCAAATTAATATTGTATACACGGTGAAGAAACCACGAGATGGATCGAAAATAGAAATATAAACAACCAGCCATCGTTAAAACTTGCAATTTGGTTAACTCAGCGTGAAATACTCGAAAAGTAATGGTTCTCTCTGTTTTTAGCGGTTTGAAAGTACAATCGCCGTACGACAAAGGTACAAAGTTTGTAGAAAGGTCGGACACCTAAGTGAACAGAATCCTTGTTTTTGCGAGGAGCTCTTGCGTTTATTAACAAAGACAACTGAAAAGTTTCCACATGGAAAAACACAGCTTGAAACATACAGGTACTTTGTGCTTTTTTCTTCACAGATGCATGAAAAGGAGATTGACTTAGAGACAATTGAAATATCTCACTTTTCCAACATGTTATTTCATAACTTGTAAACTTGTTTTGCAGTGGCAACCTAACTTTGGCAAAAAATTTCGTTTGGGCGGATTAAAAGGTAAATACACACATGGCAAACAAGTGCATTTATCGATGCAAATCCAACCGTTGGCTTTTGTCTTCACAGAAATGGAGAAAATCAATTTGAAAAGAATCCCTGTCTTGAAGGTTAATTTTGCATTATGTTTACATAAGTCATGGGAGGACGCGGTGACAGCTTCTGAATATTGCATGAATGTTTGTACAAATAAAATACCTTTAAAACGATATCAAATATTTCAAAAGTATAAATATTTAATCAACTTTGATTTAAGGAGGCAAAGTGCCTATTCGTCTGACACTTCTGCTTGCCTTCTCGACGGCGAAGTCCAAACCTAGGAGAACTTCCCTGGTAAGTTCAGTGGTAATTATTTGTACAAATTCTCAATGTTTTCTCGAAAGGAAAAGTTGTTATTTGCCATCATTTCCGATTGTTTACCTTTTTAAAGTAAATAGAGTGAAGATATTTTCCCGTTGCGGATTCTATTTACTCATATATATTGGAAAACAGTTTAATCTACCCTAGGCCCTAACGAGAAATATTTGAGAAAAACTCTCGTTGTTTTCAAACATTCTAATCCATTGACGCTGCAAGTGCAATGCTACACAAACGTATAAAGCTTGATCTCGAGTAAACGAGACCTCACATTTTCATCAGTTTAACCAGTTGAACTGATACACGAGGAAGAAATGGAAGAATGTTGTTTCGTAGATTAAAATGGCCGGTGCCAACATCAAACGGAAACTTTGGGTATTGTGATCGCATTACGAAAATGTAGGTGAACGATTTGTAGTAGTAAATACGACAAATATACTTTAGTGATATGCCCCAAACGTTCTTGATAGTAGACCGCGGCAAAATTTTTATTTACCGAATGACGTATCGCTAAAATCATAACAAATTTGTAAATTCGTGAAGCCATTGGCTTCGGGCATATGTCTACCCGCTCGCTGGTTTTACGGATTTACTGTTCATGAGCTAATAAATGATTTACAAAGCACTTCACCTGGAAAAGAGATATTATTGTCAATTAGCGCTGAAGAACATGTCTCAAAAACCTTGAAGAATCTCGCTAAATAATGCGCAAAAGTTATAAGTATCAAGTGCGCTTTGTTTAATTAAAAAACCAATACAGTTTTGCAGATGATTTAAAACCAGAAGAGTATTAAGTTATTAAAAAAAACAAACTTGATTCATGAATGGCCTAGTAAACAGATAAAAACCACAAGCTTTTGGCGACAAAACAAAGGTGGAAACTTCACTAAAAGAATAAAAATATGCCATGAAACAGACTGAATTTTCTACACGAGGGGCCACTTGAGAGATTAGCGTAAATTCATTCATATAACCTGTGAGAGAATTCAGTGTTATCTTTCTTTGAGCACGTTCGAATTCCAAATGAAAACCAGAGGACAAAAAAAAGCTCGGTAAACTGCAAACGCTCGCTAGTAGCTTACTTCTTGACTCTATAACAGAACTGAGAGGACCTCATAGGCAGTGCAGGAGTTGCGTGTTCATAAATGCTATTGCATAATACTGCTTTCATAGTGAAATTCGCAGCAGTGAAGCTATTGATCCACGCAACACACCTGTTACGTCGCGCCAGAGTCACCTGTTTAGATTTTTTCAACGCGTGCTTTTGGTAGCATTTTTAATCTAAAGATGGCATTTGGGGGATTAGTAAGGATAATGAGCGTAAAAGAATTGAAGCTCTATGGCTTGGCAAGTGCCTTTGTTTTCGCATTGTTCGAGTGAAGTAGTTCTTGTTTCTTCATTACCCGTAGTGCTCAAAACGAAAGTGTGATTTACAGTAGCAGTCGAATTATTTAGCTTTCTCAAGAACTGGTTTTGGGTGGAAAATTAGTTCTTTACGAAAGCTTTATTAACACTTCCATTAAAACCCTTTCTCTTGGTAATCAAGGCTTTATGGTGGAAAATTAATTTCATTTATTTGATGTGCCAATTGTCACTCTCATGTACCAGCTATTAAAATTTTTTTACCGTGGGAAAAAGTGTGACGAGTCGCAATTTCAGGAGTACAATCGGGGAACGCCTCTTGTCGAGAAACAGATAACGGCTGTGTGCAATGGTGGAATCATATGATTGTGTTGTAATCGTATATGACAGTTTTAATTGTTTGAAGAACAAATTTATCTTGTGCTTTCTCGAAGTATTGTCTTACTGACAAAACTGAGCCAAGGAATTGACAGAATTTCCTGGAAACCGTTATCAAGATACATCGAAATTCAGGTCTATAATTCCTCATATCTTAACCGGAAACTTCGAAGGGGACTGGGTGAATGTAGGACTCGTGAAAATGTCGTCTACTTCTCACATGTTAGGTTGCACAAATTAGGTTACGCACTTTTAATCGCCTCTGAGCCTTTTCCTTTTTGAAAGCAAACGCCGAACAACTCGCCTGCATAAAATATCTCAACAAATTATGTCATTTCTTTGACACCGAATAACAACAGTTCGCTTTTAAAATATTAAGGGCAATTTATCTCTAACTTTTTTTTGAGATGATGGAACGTTAACATAAGAGGGAGAGAGAGAGAGAGAGAGTAAAGTCACAACATTTGTCTTATCTGGGAATTGAAGAGAAGATAGCAGGGAAGATAAATTTGTTTTGTTTAGACCGAAGGACTTGCGAGATGAAAAGAAACCATAAGCTGCGGGTCATCGGATAGACTGAAGGTTCTTTTTTTTCACAGATGAATATCGGGCAAAAAGATTTTCAACAGGATTTTAAGCGTTTGTTTGTTTGTTTCTTTATTATTTTTACATACACCATAGACATTATGAACAGTTTTGATGATTTTCTTTTCGTTGATCAACATTGAAATTTAGAGAAAGATAACATTTGACTCAATGGCTTATCAAGCGGAATTTCGAAATGAAAACAATGGTGATCGTTCAACAGAAATGGAAGCCAAAACAAGCGCTTGACACAACTGGCACAGGAAATATACCCTTGACGCTAATCGCTAACCTTGTGAGATAGATGTGACACGATAGGATCAGTTCTTCATGTCAGACACCCATTGATGTAATAAGAAGTTGCTGTATAAACAAACTCAATTTGCTGATAAGTTAAAACACACCTCCTATCAGCAAAGATAATACTGAGGAAGTAGAACATTAGCTGAGATATCAGCACCTCATTTTCACTTTGCCAGGATTTGTAACGCACCCAGGGAGATGATAAATCTATTGCTAACAGCTAATCAAGATTGCGCACTCGCCAAAGTTAACAAAACGAGACAAAATAAATAAATCAACACAGACTGGATAACATTGCTATCGTTTAAGAACATCTATTATTAAGTCATAAACCTTGAGACAGATCACCCACGTCGAATCAAGTTAGATGTTCATTTAGATGTCAAATTCAATTTTCTGTAACAAATGGCTTGGAAAAACAGGATCAGAGTTTTTGAGTGCAAGTGTTTCTGATATCATCTTCTGCCATTTTACATTAAAATGACACTCTCAGTGTTAAAATAAAGAATAACTCAACGAAATAATGTTATTGGGGTGAAAGGAAGAAAGTAAACGTAATCTGCCTCATACCAGTAAAAGGATACCTCATGGGAAGTTGCGTTGGTAGGTCACAGGAAGGCAGGAATTCTATTTCTGCTTCATGCACATCTGATAAGGCGTTGAAATACTTTGACACCGCACGAAGCCCTTCAAACATGAAAGACATTTTTTTCAAAACGATATGCTGTTATTGGTTAAGAATTGCCTGAGTGGCTCTCCGTCACAGCTTGCTCCTGGTGGGGCTTCTATACAAATAAACCCTTGTCCTCCTGTGATTTGACAGGTCGGAAGTCTGCACCCAACACAATATTTCCAGTCACATCCTCGGTGGCGAAGATTTTAATTCATTGGCGGGTACTTATTAACTAACTGTTAGGCGGAGAGACCTTGAACTTTGTCGATGGTGGAGCTGTTGCTTCCATTGTGTGGCTGTTAATAATATATTAACATCTTGTGTTGGATTTATTTAATGAGCTATAGAAGAGAGAGAGATTCGATTAGACGCTGAATTCCTCGATTTAGACATTGACGCGGTGGGTGCATACCATTTAAAGCAGTTAAGTACAGAGGTGGGTCTTAGCGGAATAACTGTTTCAAGATATTTTCACGAGCAGGACGGATTTCCGGAAACAATTAATGCGCTATGTTTATCGCTACATATTTCAGCTTGATATCAAGTTTTCACTGTTTAAAGTTTAGAAGAATCATTAGAGGCAGCTGCAAATATACGCTGCACAAAAGTAAAGGAATATACTGATATGCACTAAGGAAGTCATTTAAATACGCGATGTTGTTCCAATTCCAGCAGCGAAAGAGAAAAACCTGTTAGCTACGATCCGAAGTGTTCTCAGCAGCAACAGTGTATCTATCAGAATTTTTTTTTTAGAAAGCTGACCAATTTAAAATAACGGGATAAAAATACCATATAACAGTCACTAATAGTACGGAAAATTTATTTCTCTCGGGCCAATACAAAATTGAATTCATTACACGCCACGAAGATATCCTAAATAATCTCTCTAGAGGCAGTGAATGAAACTCCTTAAGTGCAGGAACTTATGTTTGTAAACACTTCTATTGTTTAGACTTCAATTTACACGGGTTATTGACGACAGACTTAGAGTTTATCAAAACAATTTAGAAGCTCCGTAGTCTTATTCGCCAGAGTAGCCAATAGTTTGCGCAAGCAATCGACCACCATTAATATTCAATTTGGATTTCATGTACCAGTTGATGAAGTATTATTCGTGTTTTGAATCGAAACAATAGATCACTATGGCCTACCTGATGTGCGTTTACTATAAACGTGAATTAATATTCACAGAAATCGAGGTTTCAAAACTGCGTGACCCCCACATAATTGACGACATTTTCTTCAAAATAGAGAGAGAGAAAGCTCAAAGGGTCGTTACATTTGTTGGTGCTTGCGAAAATTGGAACCCAAAGGTGGCAATGTAAATATTCGCGATTAAACACGTAGATGTGACAAGTATCCTCTATCACTTTAAACGTTATGCAAACAAAAGAAAACGAATAGTTGAGATTTGCTTCCACTAAATTTGGATCAATTCAGCATGAAAACGGGCTCGATTTCATATGCTCTAGGCAGGGGTCGGTTTTTGATTGATGGGGTCGAAACAAGAGCAACTTTTCGTTGCACTGCCTAAGGGAACGTCGCCACAGTGTAGTATTTTCTTCTCAGTTGAACGGATCGACTTGTAACTGCGGCTGATAAGCAAAATTAAAGACGAGTAACAAGTTGACTGACACTATGATGATTTGCTTGTCTAAACAAACAAGGTTAACAGGCATTATTTTCAACAGTTTTGTCTACAGGATCCCTGCATGTGAGCGAGCCCGCACTCAAGCAGACAAGATTAACTGACATTTAATTTGAACTTTCGAGAAACACAGATAACAGTGTCGACCGCAGTTCATCGCTTATTGGCGTCGATATAAGTGCTATTATTCGGCATGCTATTTCGAGGTTTGCGTTCATTAATCGTTTGGCAAACACCTGATCCTTATGTTAGTGTTATTGAAATAATAAGGCCTTGCAAAGTTCATGAAATAGTGTTTTTGAATCAAGCCCTAAGTAACCATAACATTGGCAATTGAGGAGCCAAAACAAAGGAAACGCATAAACATTTCACTAGCTTCCTGTGATCAAACGAAAGCGCCTAAAAGCCGAAAATAGCATTCAAAACCTTTCTCACCTCATAGAGAGTGATTTCTGACAGTTGGTAATGGAATCGGGAATTTTAAAGGTGCCAAGATTTCGCGAAATCGTATTCAATCCCCGCGCTTCTTACTTAATTATCATGTCCACGCCGAGGGCAATGCTGTCAACTTGGAGGGCTTGACAAACCGTAAATGCAATAAATGTTGGGAATACATAATCACTGTCCTGTAGTGAAATTTAGATTAGTTCAGTAAACAGAAACAGCAGGTTAACAGATAAACTTCCGCGGATTTCTACCGTCGCTTTCCAAAACCGGAATCTAGGCTTCAAAATTGGCGAAATTGCGTCCACTAGAAGTGCTTTCGCGAGTTAATAAAGTGCAGCCAAGCGTTGACTGATGCAATTTAGCATGCATTAATACACTAACTTCTACTACAAGCACATTTCAATTATATCCCACGCGAGCCAAGACAACTGTTGTTTCAGATGTAAATAATAGGGTAATAAATTGAAGCACCGCCAATCAGAATTCCCATTTCTAGAAACAATTATGTCTAGCAAGGACAGTAGGAGTACATCCCGTGGCGAAAATATCAGAGCGACCCCAATTGCTTCTTCAAAAGCTTCCCGGCCCTTCTCAAGGTTAACCGACTGGGTTAAATTGATTCGGTTCGCCTCAGTCTCGAGAAATTTGGCCACTTTCATATAGAGCGCAGTATTTTCCTCAACTGAAGATAAAAAAGAACCGGAGAAAGGTAAATGAATCTTCAGCATATATTTACAAAAAAATATCATTGGGTTAACACTTATTTGGTTTCAACCAAATTCTCAATCGTTGTCAAGGCACAAAATTTTCGCATGACTTAATGAGCTGTCGCATGATTTTTATGACAAAGTTCGCGTGCTTTTTGCTACTCATTGGTGAAATAAATACACAGCTGTTTTATAGCACCTTTTTCTACTTTTGACACTGGAAACAATACCGGCATTTGCCTCGCGCTTCAGGTCAAATCTAAATTCGTAAGGTGAGATCGCATCCGCCTCGAACTTTTTCATACACAAACAAGTTGCTTCGATCTGATAAGACACAGGAGAGATGAACCTGGCTCTGAGAAACGAAGTTGACATTTGAAATCCATTTTTCTGCGAGTATTCTATAATTTACGAGATCCACAGCTGCTAATTTCCGGTAAACAGGAGCGTGATATGTCCATCAAAAAATGCGCACAGGTTTGTACTCTTGCTGAAGAGCTAAAAGTGTTCCCGTTGTGGCCTCGAAATAAAAATTTCCCTTACAACTGGAAATTGTTTGTTTACACTAAATTATAAATCTTTAACAACTCTTTAGAATAAACATTTTGAATGTACACAAACCTTAATAGTACCAGCAAATACTGTAATCAACCCTATAAGACCTTCATACGTGAAATATTTACTTTTGAGGGGGTTTATAATGTTACTGTTACTCTAAACTGTAATTAAAACCTGGGAAATAATAATGTTAAGCTTATCCTCGACTGCAACAGACTGAGTATTTTGGGCTTATCACGAAGAGCCGCTATCGCTTTTATGAAAGCCCGTTGACTCAATTCAGAACATTCCCAATCAAGTCAGGTCGTTTAAGTGATAAGAAAGCCGCTTGTGTGGTTTAATTCATGAATGTTTCGCGCGTTTTTGTAGGATACGGCTCGGTTGTCTGGCTCTCGCACCGCGCACAGGTGGAGCGAAATAAGCGTTCCTGTCTTCTGTTGTTGTCATGTTGTTTTCGGAGAAAGAGGAAAGCGCATTTGCATGGTACAGGACCCCAGCGTGGGGCAGCATTATCGCGAAAAAAGATTCACAGCGGGTAGTTTGTAATAATAAAAAATAAAATCTACATCGTATAATTAAAGCTAAATAGCCTGCACTTGGGCCAGACAACATGTGAATTGCTTTGTGCCTTTCAATTCCCCTCATCTGCCGATTGCTTCTCTCTGATTGGTATAGTTGCGAACCAGGTGTTAACTATGGGTGTGGGGAGGAGCGTTTCACTTTTCACTCCTCCTTGAAGATAACGGGAAAATATTTTCACACCTCGAGTGTAAATATACACTAGGAGTCAAGGTAGTTTGAAATTGTATACTCCCGAATATATGATAGGAAGGTAAACGAAATTTGGCATGGATGGTGTAAATAATAAAAGTGAATGGATAGAAACAATTAAGGGCCTAAACGGACAAGTAGCAGCTGCCAGAGTAGGTGGTCGCATTGCTACCAGACAAATAAATGAATCAATTGACGCTTTGTAAAGAGCATAATGATTGGTTCGATGGACAAAAGATAGCGTGATGTCAGGATATTTATAGAAAGTGATAGATAATGAATAGACCAGCCAATCAAATGTCATATCGACAAGACAAACACCAAACAGTCTTTAGAATTTCTAATTTATATATTATTGCCACAGAACAGCCTCCAACACTTCAGAATTAACTCTGTCAAACACAAGCAAAATGGCCTCTTCAACCCACGACCATCAACTAAGCAGCTACGAGCCTGAGCTCAAGAAAGACGATAGCGACTCGAGTCAAGTTGAGAGCGAAAAAGCCGAAACTAAGGAGGCCTCGTCGAAAGATCCCAATGTGAAGCCGCCGTACTCTTACGTCGCGCTGATCGCGATGGCGATTCGAGAGTCTTCAGAAAAGCGGTTAACCCTCAATGGAATTTACCAGTACATTATCAGTAAGTTTCCGTTTTACGAGAAGAATAAGAAGGGATGGCAAAATTCCATACGGCACAATTTGTCACTCAATGAGTGTTTCATTAAAGTTCCCCGAGAAGGCGGCGGGGAGAGAAAAGGAAACTACTGGACCTTAGATCCAGCTTGCGAGGATATGTTTGAGAAAGGTAACTACAGGCGCCGGCGCCGCATGAAGAGACCTTACCGGCAACAAACTCTGCAGCACACCAACGGAATGCTAACAGATCCGCGCGCGGCAGCGTATGGAAACTTCATCGCTCCCAAGTGGTCAGCTTATAATCCAGTTCAAAGTGTACCTACTGCAGGAGGAAACTGGCGAACTGCTCAGCCTGCTGGCCCTCTTTCGTACCCGTGCAACCCGCAATCGTCTAGAGTTCCACCGGGGTATGCGGTTGCACCCTACATGAACATGGGATCAACTGTTGGAGTCCCAGTCAGCTCATACACAGGTACGCAGTATTCTACACAAATCCAGAACCCCGTGAATAATCAATGTGGGTACGGAGCCGTGGCAATGCCCAGTGTAGGTTGTCGCAGACAAACTGATCATACAGCCGCAGTGCATGGCCATCATTTTACTAATCCGTACTGGAATCCACCTGACAAGCATTCATTTGACGCTCAACCACGTTCATAGGGTAAACGTGTGCGAGAGATTATTGACTGAAAAAACGTTTCTACGATCTAGAGATTTTATTTATATGAGAACACATAAGAATTACTCTTGGACCTGACTGCAAATAGAGAAAGAAAAGTACGGAAAAAGCCTCTTAAAAAAAGCAAAAAAAAAAGCGAACTAACAAACTCGAGATGTACGCTCCAAAATTATAGAGATTTCATGTAATATTTGAGTATTATATTTACTTTAATCATTAAATCAGAAGCCCCTTGATATGGTATCTGGGCATTCCAACCAGTTCAGCAGTTGACCTTCCAAACAAATCAAATTGTACCAAATCTAATATTATCTACGATAAAGGAAAAAAAGGAAATGAAAATTCTCCTAAGATTTATTCTTATTGCGCACGTTTTCGAATGCTCGAAGTTCAAACTGAAAGTTGACGAGCTAGTAAATTCATTAGGTACACTTTTGTGAACTGTTATTAGTATAGACTTTCTACTTCAGCGTGAATGCGTGAAACGCCAATGATCTCTTTTGCCGCGTGAAGTCTTTTAGCTTTTAACTGTAACTTGCAGTTACACTTTCAACAAAGAGGATTTTGTCGATCTGTTCAATCCATTTTAGAATTTTGAGGAAGTACCTCTAGTGTTTGTTGACTTTGATTTTGAATAATTTCTCGAACCGGCGGTTACTCGCCACTTAAAAGGTTCAAGGAAGAAATGGAAGAAACGAACTTTTTGAAAATAATTTATTTGCCGATGCGGCATTGTCACTGTCTTTTCTATGCCTTCAAAGAAAATAAACTCATAGTCAGGGTATCTGCCTGTTCTTTATTTTCCTGGGTTAATGAGAATAATGCCGTAGAGCGGTGTCCGAGGCTCAAGGTCGCATACTCGGCAATGGATCAATTTTAGTTACAACTCCATGGGTGAGAAAATTCATTCGCTTTAAATTCACAAAGGTTTATCACCCTCGAGGAAGGAATTTTCTAAAATGGATAAGATTTAAAGGGGAATTTGCCGTTACACTGCACTTTCTCTGATAATGTTGGAAATTCACGACTTTCCATCGAGCAAAATTTTATTGAGTGGCGGAGTAACAAAATTAATATTTCTCTGATCTTGTAGTTTTTATCGTTGGTCCATTATCCTCCCACTTTTTAGTTTATCGTTGTCTTTCTTGTCTTATACTCTGCTCTAGTAGCAAAGTTTATTAATCCAAATCAGTACCGCCAATGGGCAGGCAAATACTAGAGCAACCAAGACGGTGTTTGTTATTATGGCTCTTGTTTGTATTCTGAACATAAACCATCCCTGAACTTTACGGTGTTTTGACGTTAAATTAAGGTTTTTTCGATCGCTTATTGTTAACCAAACTTTGTGTTAAATAGTTAGCGATTAAATTCGCGGACACTGACAAGGCGAGGGTCTTTTGCAACCAGAAGTGACACGAAATTTGACACTGTTAACTTAATTTTAAATGTTGTCAATACCGATGCGACAGTTTTGGTGCATTTCATTCGCGTGATTTTCCACTCAAAAAGTCTCTTAAATTACTTCATAAAATTTACATTCCGGTACACGAATCGACGCTCACAAACGCACCAAAGTTTGCATTCGAGTGAAATTACAAGAAAATGCACTTTCATAGAAACGAAATTTTTCATACGTATGAAAACCTAAGTAGAGCATGAAAGTCGCCGACGAAGACTTCTTGTATTCAAATTAACCACATATCCTGAGGCATTTCGGCGAGATAAGAGAATCATCATTTACGGTCGCTCGGCGTTCTAAATCACACAAAAGATCTCAAAGCAAGACACGTGTGACAAATGCTTTGCTTGCTCACAACTAAGTTCGCTTTCATCATAATGGAAGTACTTGTTCTAAGTCGACGGAAGAAAATTCGTGAAAACGATAATTCCTTTTCCTAACAGGTGAATCATTATTTTGACTTGCTGTTTCCGCAAACTTCTCTCTTATATTAGATGGGTGATGAACACTTAAAAAATATGTAGGGTGGGAAACTTTTCCGATCAGAACCTTTCCGAAACAGCTGTGATGGGCTAGACCTTAGTTTGGAAGGAAATGGAAAGGAAATGTTTCTGATTAAGGAGATATATTGCATTTCCATGGATGCGAGAGAGTGCGCTACTATAGAAAAACCACTACGGGGTGCCTTCGCTCTGCGATAGCAGCTTGAAACTGCCGTAGGTTGATATCTCTCAGAAAGAAGAAGCTGTAGTTATTCCAGTGACCATACAAAACTTAAAGATTTTAGTGACCAAAAGGTCTGCGACTTAGAAAAAAACACTGATTCAGCAGCAAATGATTGTACTCCCTAAGCCGGAGTCGAGTTAGGGATAAGGGGTCGGTTGTTTTCTGTTTCAGCGGCGGCGTTCTGTCAAGGCTTTGTTAAAATTTGTCAATATTTGGACAATATCGCACAAACTGCAAGGATGGTCAAGAGAGGCTGGTGATATTAAAACTACATTTTCATTTTTGATAGTTTAACCGGCTCTAATAGCCTCTGCAATGCGCGAGATAGTAGTCGGCTCTCGATGTTGTAACTCGCCCGTACAAGTTTCCTCGAGAGTCATTTTCTTATTTGGGTAAGGCATAAACAAAAGAAAGTGAACGCTGCTGCGGTATGGCGACATTCATTAGATTTGGAAACCTAAAACTTGGTTTTTAATCACTTCATGAGAGCGGAACAAAATGTTCGACCATTGCAAGGTCCCATGTCCAAGTTTATTGATTCTCTCGTGGTCTGTTTATGGAAGTTTCCCCGGTAAGTTTAGAAGCACCTGTAAACACACAGGGAAATTTCTTCCGATTAAGGACTATTTACCTTTTCACACCAAAGGATCAAAACTTTTTCCTTAGCGAATGAGTCTATTTTTTCCATTTTTGGACCACTTATAAAAAGTGATAAATGCAAGATAAAAATAGTGAGTATTCTTTAAGATTTTGTGTTTGTTTTCTTTTTCTTGCAATAGGTGGAACGGCGGCCAGGTTATTTACGCCATAGCGGCTTTTCAAATACTAGGTGGTCTCTAAATGCACCACACTTAAATTAACACCCCCCCTTAAATCCAAGTTGACTGAAATTCTCGCATCATCGAGGCGAACATCTCCTTAAAGAAATCGCGAGAGGAAGTAACAAAGTAACTGCTTAAATAAAATCTGAAAAGAGGAAATGATATGCCTAGTCACTTCTCTATAAAGAAAATTGAAGGACGCGAGGAAATTTTTTGCTCTGGTTTAATGTTTTAAGTTTTTCGCCGACAAGGAGAAAATTCACCTCCAAAACATAACGTCGAATATATTTGTGTAGAAGCCATTTTTCAATTGCCTATTTTGACGGCCGTCAAACGTATATTATCCAAGCTTGACAATGTTATTGATTCTAAGCTCTTTACTTTTTCTCTATTGTAAACATACCATACTCTGAAGTCACACAAAAAAATGCGCCGGTGCTCGGAACAAAAACTCAGGACAAAAAAGGAGTAGTATTTCTCTGAAGTAATGTATGTCTAACGATTTGGAATCAAATGTATAAAACAAAGCTTGTAAATGAATACAGAAAAGGGCACATCTGTTTCAACTGGAGCAATATTCCTTTCAGTGATAAATTACATCTGTGTAAAGCAAGGAAAAAAACCTACCCAGGTTTAACCGATATCACCGTGGTAAATTGGCTAAGATCAATATCACCACAAGCGCAATCTTCCAAAACGCGAATGAACAGTAATTAGGGTGATCGCGTTACGGTCGTTTGAAAGTCTCAACATAATTTGCTGCTTTCAAAAATTTCAGGAAAAAGTACATCGTTGAAGCAACACTCTGAAGATTTACCTAATTAAGCAACTTTTCTGCTACCGAACAAAAATATCATCAAAATTCTGAGTACAATAAATATTTTATTAAATTTAGGGTCTTCTTAAATAGTTTTTACTCTTCCTTTATCCTCTCGTGTCTTCGGCTTATTAACTGGTGGGAGAATATTCCGAAAAAACGAGGATTATCTTCCTGCTAATAATACAAATTGGGCACCTTATGGTGAGTTACAGTTATTGGGTTGCCGGTTATTCTCGAACAACTTTGATAGCCAGCCGCGTTCACCTAAGCGAAGGATGTAAACAATGGGTTTCTTTCGCTTTGATCGCAAACTAATTTAACAATGGGATAATCCTTAGACATTCTTGTTAACGATAAGTGAATGAAAAAGAAAATAATAATTGGGATTAAGAATGAGCACAAAGATACGAGCTGTTAAAATTGAGCCGTGAAAGGCGCTGAGTAGAGTTAAATTCTAACAACTGGGGTGTCACAGCACCGCGCGAAATTGATCTTATAGTTGGGTCCCTATTTGCTTAACTGGTACACTTGCCGAAAATGAAAACATTGAGCATTCATGCTAGCCTGTCGAGAAAAAGCAAACTGATAAAGAGTTCAAGAGCATCGAGTGATGATTTTTACAAGGCATATTAATGCTAGCAATTTGCAGTGTTCTGATTTCAGGCGGTTTCAATTCCAATTCATTCGATCTTTCGTGCTAATACGTGAAATATTTCTAAAGAGATAGCAGTAGCAAACTTCTCAGCAGGTATAAATCACAAGCGCCCAACAGTAAATGTTAATTTCGTACGATAAATCGCTTTAACATGGTATTAATCATAACCCTTTTTTCTTTCAGTATGTCTTTCTTTCCCTTACTGTAGCATCTGGTCTTTTACCCTTAGCATGCACCTCTTCCTTCACTTCAAGCACAGCGCGCACTATCTTTTATCAACAAGCGAGCGAGACAAAAGGGATGCGTTTCGTTTGTCCCAGTGTCGCACCGATGCAAAACGTATCGCTTCAGTCAGAAGAGGGTTACCTTGAAACCACAAACAAACGCATGGCGGCGACCCCTTGAGTGCCCTACACGATGGTGTCTACACATTAGAATTACAAAACCGATAAGAAATTGGAATTTTATGACAACAAAGATGTAGCCAGTGGCAAAGAAAGACGAAATAGATCTTTCGTTGTACTATTATAAACTTTCAAATTTGCCAAGTTCGTTTGAAAAGGGGGGAAAATTGCTGGAGAAGGAAGACGCGGATTCAAATCTTCCAAAGACTCCGATCTGTTGTGTATTCGTTTGGTAAACCAAGAAGAACATCAAAAATACACGGACTGGCTGTTATTCTTTATTGAATTTACACAAGAGTTGTCTCATCCTGTTTCTCAATCGCTGTTAAATTGTCTGAACTTTTCACCCAAGCATACCGTTGACAAACTTTTCTGAAGACGGCGGTCAAACAAATTATTGGTTTTGTACGCTGTGATGTTTATGTTAATCTAAGTTATCATGCAAAATTAATTTTACCAGGCAGATTCCGCAATACAAATTCTATCCATGCTTATTGCTGTAGAGGACTCGCCATTCATTTATTGCGATTTTAGCTGAAGCTGTAGATTGGACCTAATTGGTAATTTTCTTCGCGTCCAGTTTAAACATGACAATTGATGGACGATCGAGGAACAAATCGAGAATATCCAAAGCATTAAGGCACTGCACATTAGAACTCGTAATTGAAATGTTCAAATGAAATGAAAGCGTAGGAATAAAGCTGTTGAACTTACCATATGAACTTAAAAATTAATTTTGCGCTTTCGTTTGGAAGGAGATCAAAGAGATGAAGATACTGCGTCACTCACTGCAGTTCATAGGCGAAAATGGTTGGTTCGATGCAAACAGCTTTCGGAAAAGCTGCTACACACAAAACGAAAACAGGAAAGCGAATAAAGGTGAATACAATTAAGTCTGA